TAAAAGAGGCTTGCCAATCTATTTATCCTTTCCACAATGCGTTTGTTAAAAAAGAAAAAATGCTGAAGAAACACAAGTTTGAGCTGGGAAAAGTCACGGAGTTTCATGGGCAAGAGAGTGGTTCTGGAAAATGGGAGTTAAAGTTGGATGGACAGATATGAGCCCCTGTTGAAAAATCTGTCTAAAGTCAGGACTTTTTAATGGTGACAAATAAGAAAAATCTCATCGGTGAAAATGGAGTTAAAATTAAAAGAACATCTTTCATTTACTTTCATTCTAGTCAAAACACTCAAGACTCACTAACTTTTGAGAAGGGGACTTCTTAAGGCTAAAGGTTAATATTGCCTTCCTTGCTCACTGACCCTTATAGACCATTTCTGCAGTGATTCCAGGCAGCATGAAAACATAAGTTGTGTCAGGTGGGGGAACCTAGAGGCTGACCCTGGGACAAGGCTTCAAGTGCAAGGCTTCTATTCAGGAGGGAAAGAACCACTGGTGGCATGGGAAAAGCNGGGGGGCATTATTCCTTGGCATTTCCAGTCTGCCCAGCAAGAGGCAAAGGATTCCAGAGGCAAGAGGAAACCCTGAGGCCACGATGTTCTAGCAAGGAGGGGGTTATGGGCGCAGTGCTCATAGTATCTGCTATAAGAAAATGCATCACTAGCCTAAACACTGGAATGGTTTCAAAGGGGGCTTCTCCCCGTGCACCATGGTTATTCTACCACAGTTAAAATGGTCAGAAAGAGCAGGACCAAGAAGGGTACAACTTTAGGGCTTCTGCAGCTATATTTTAGAACAGGACAGTGATGAAGAGACACCAAGTTTCATGGCTTTTGTGTTTCAAAACATTAAATTGAAGACTGCGCTTCTAATGATTTTGTTAAATGACGAACATTTACATGATGTAGAATCAAACAATGAATTCTCAAAATACACTTGACAGTGCAAAGAAGAAAGTCTAGTAAGCATAAATTTTCACTTTGTGGACCTCCTTGTCATTACATTCCCTCTGTTTGTTGTAGTAATAGAAAGTATTGTCCCTTCTCTGAAGTTTCTTCACATATCCTGTCTCAGGCCAACGATCCACCTGCATATAAAAACCAGAATACAAAAATTGTAATGCCAGCTTTATTTTTACCTTGGATTCTACTATCAAATTGTTCAAAGTACAACTCACACCAAAATATTAAAGTATAAAATTAAATTTTAAAATGCTTGCACTTTTAGAGTACTACACACATACAAAACACATCTTAAATTGCAACCTTAAACTGTGGAACAACTAATTTAGTGCTTTTCTTTAGGGCCTAATTTCTAGATTAAATTTCTATACTGTGGCCAAGAAGAGAAAACATTCAAAATAACCTAAATTTCATTCTTCTTATGTTTACAAATAAGTTTAAACATTACGATTTCTAAAAATAACACCCCAGGAGGAAATTAGGGCTAGGCCCAGGCCCTGTTCTGAAAGCACCACCTGCCTGATTGTTGCTGCTGTGCAGTGCCTAAAGCGACTAGATTCAAGAGACATGCAAAGGCACATGTGTATTTCCTTCTGCCCAAATCTCAAGTTCACCTTGAAATCCAATTTTTGATAGAAATTTGAGGTCATGAATATAGTCCTCAACAATCTTTTCCTACTGCTCCCCACTATTCTTTTTTATAAGCCATATTGGTTTGCTTAATTTATCATCTGGCTTGATCTAAAATTTGGACATTTCCCCCCTTTTTCTCCAAATACAATGTTATGCCTTCTTGATCAGTTTAATGCATTTTTGTTATTGTTAAATACATTCCTTTTGGATTTTGTGAGATGCACTTTATCATTGTCAAAAACCCCATTATTCGGGTTTTAGAAAATTAAATCCTGTTCTTCAGCATCGTTTATACAGGCATGCCTTCACATATTCACCACTTGTAAATCACAGCTTTCAATTGGAAGAAAAGATAAATACACCCTCTGTGTCCCCATGTCTTTTATTTTCTAATAATGCATTTTCTATTTTTCTGTTATCTCATTTATTCATGAATTAGCAAAAATAGGTAGCAGCGTATCTGATAAATCTCAGCAGGCCCTCTGACATAGACATTATAGGAAAAAGCCTGCCTCTGTGGCTTTAATTACCCTCAGCAGGAAATGGAGATGTTCTCAAGAAGCTCTTTTCCCCTTGGGTCCAGGAGCAGGTTATATTTCATTTAC